CTCTTCTCTTCAATAATCTTTGGTGGTCTATTCTTCAATGCAACGACTCCTCTCTTCTTTGAGATGGCCGTCGAGACTGTTTACCCAATAGCCGAAGGARTGACAACCATTTTACTACTGTTTCTAGCAAATATTATTTTAATAGTTTTAGGAGTTATCTTTATGTTCCCTGGTATGAACGTTGCCTGGATAAACTGGGTCATGGTTGTTGTTTGTGGTCTTTGTGTACCTGGTTTAATGGTCTACAAAGGCAAGTTCAAGAGACTCGAGCTGGAGTGATTTTGCACCCAAAGAAAGAAACTTTAAATTAGATCAAACTCTGAAACAACTTCTGAGATGATTAAAGTCATGAGAGCACGGCTAGCTCACAGTTTTAACCCCCTGAAAGTTCTGAAACAACCTCTGGGCTGATGTAACTCAGGGCACGGCTAACTCACAAAGCGAACCGCTTTAACAACCTTTGGGTTGTATGAATAAGAGCTATTCAATCCCACTTACAGATGATATAGACCGGGGTAAGATGACCCCTTACAGCCTAACGATATTATCATGGTTGTTGAATGTTGCCTCAACAGAGAGCCGTCATAACGAGCTATGCGATAAGTTTGAGTTAGCAAGGTCATTTATATAAATTAAATAAGAACAAAGGTGGGCCAAGAATGTAATAAGATGGAAATCAAAAACAACACAATTTACACAAGCTTCTGATAGCGCTCTGATAAATAATCAACCTTGTTCCCAGGGCCTTCTCTTCTCGCTTTTTTTCAAGATGGCGGCGCTCGAAGGGAACGAGGTTGGCTAAATAATCAGAAAATCACGACGGCATTTTTGAACGCATCCCATAAAGTTCATTTTTTATTTTTTACACTCATATTTCTTATAGATATTATTACTTTAGTTTGCAAATATTTACAAGCTGGTATACTTCAATGAATTATACAAATAATAAGTAAAGTATCATTAAAAATAACTGAAGAGCTAAACTTGTTTCAGTTTCGATTTTTAAAAACTGCCTTTTCTATTTCCTTGATAATGATAGTTTTCTTTCGCAACCGTCATTAGTACGGTTCCAGTGGTTAGGGACCGAGATAGCTCGAGATTGTGGGACCGAAACTAATGACGGCTGCGTGAAGACTATGATAAAGACCCGAGAGTACAGAAATAGACCTTTAATTATTGGATGAAGGCCGAGTCAGACCGAGTGCTCTGGGGTCACCCTATAGCTCTTTTCTAGTCATTACATGGGATACCATGATGTGATTTGACAGACTTAAGCCTTGAGTAAGGTAGCTGGTATTTCATCCAATCCACTTGCTTTATGTGATCTGAGTTACATCTTAGTAGCAAAATCCTCTAGAAAGCGTTTGTGTTTGGATTCATCAAAAGACTCAAAAGTGACTGACGTTTGTTTAGTTGAATAGCCAATTTCATGCCCATGATTTAATTCAACAAAATGCCTTAGGAAAATGCTCTAGAAAAGCACACTGTATGATGAGACTCCGCGTTGAAATAAAGGTTACAGTGGAACTCCGCCTTACGGCCGCCCGCTTAATACGGCCACCCGTTAATACGGCCAAACGGCCACTTTTTTTGTGGCCCGATTGACAAACTTCCATACTTTTTAACCCCGTATTACGGCCAGGACAAATAGGTTACAGTTTAGATCTTAATGTAAATACTGTAAAGTTATTGCTGCAAAATCTGTGATTCTTTTATTCATTCGGTTAACATTCTACATTAATGCTTTTTGTAGAATCAGAATCAACACAACAACTTCAAACAGAGAAACACGTACAGCGCGATGCGCTAAAGTATGTCCGCATTTATTTCATAGCGGTACAGTATTAAGACAAACCATGCCGATAGCCTGTCTGGGGTGATATTGGCAGCCTCGAGTCATTATTGCTTCAAAGGAAGCTTCATTCGTCTGTACAGAGCAAAGTCACTGCCTATTTTAAAAAGTAGTTGTTACTGTACTCGGCCGATTTTCTCTGTTCTACTGTTATATCTACAGCCCTGTACTACTGTATAATTTAAAGTTTTAAAGTACTACTAAAGTTGAGTTATAACTGAGCTCCAATAGCATCAGAAGTTCTAGAAACATTATTTAAAAATACAATATGCATTATTTCACTTTGTTTAGTAGTTTCGTACTGATTAACAAAACACGTTTTTATCATATTTTTGACAGCCCACTTAATACGGCCACCCCGTTAATACGGTCACTTTTGAATGTCCCTTCGGTGGCCGGATTAACGGGGTTCCACTGTATTTGTTATATACCAACTGTTAAAAGTCCATTTTTCTAATACTCTGTTTGGGCGAGAGGGAATCACGTTTAACGTGAACAAGTTTCGATGGCCCCGGCAACGGCTTTCAGCGGRCAACAATATGTTGTTGACCGGTAATAACAAAACAGGAAGTTATTTCCCGGAAATGTAAGTTTTTCAAAATCAAATAATAAAAAAATAATGAAATAATTGCTTCGCGTTCTTTGACAGTTTGTATATTACAAAATACTCATTGAACTGAATCTCAGGACATGTCAGGAGATCAGTGTGTTTTGTGGTCCCGCGCGGCAATGTTTCCCTCGGCTTCGACTCGGGAAACATCGCCGTCTCTCGGGACCACGAAACACACTGTTTCCCTTGCTCGGTCTCAGTCAATATAATTCAATGTATAACCACTGAAGTCCGCTGCACCACTTAAAATGGTGAAAACGAAATCGAGGAGTTCTTGGTACGAGAATGCGGATTAAACCCAAGCAATGTATTTGTGGTATGTATGATAGCTCTAAAACAGCTAAAAACCACTCAGAATGACGTTAAATACCATTAACAACAACGCAGGAGCAAAATTATGTTCAAATTTATTTGAAAAATTTGCGTATTTTTTCGATCCATATACATTTACTGTAAATGCTCTCATACACACCACAAATACATTGCTTGGGCTGCCTGTGTATTGAGCTATGTGTGGGCTACCTGTGGTTTTGGGTTTCCTGTGGTCGACTGACAGGAAGTCACAGGACTCGGGGCCGAAGGATTTGCTAGCTTCTTGTTCTGATAAAGGAAAATTGACCGCTAGGAAACAGTTAAAACTTTATGGAGTGCCCAGAAGGTAAGTCAAACGTGTCTGCTTGAATGTAGTTGTACTTACTGAACAGAAACAATTGCTGGGCAATCTTGGAAGTTACGTCAAAGGGATTGAGAATGTCGAAACTGCAATAAGAAACCAGTTTATTCTACTCATGGGCTGTAGGAGAATATTTGGTTTGTGACGGGG